CCGTGAGAAAATTTTGGCGGTCCGCAGAGAAATGTCCCACCCCCAAAGCACTTCCCCCAAAGGTTATAGAATCTCCATAGACACTGTTTTCATTGTGGATTGCTGAGTAGCTTGTGCAAGCTTTTCTCTGACAATACCTATGAATAATAAGAAGTGCAAATGCATATATATATATGGATATGGATACTGTGAAAGTCTGACTCACAGACGAACACAATACAGAAGCCTGATGATGGCAGATGAGATTCTGCCAAAACGTTGCTACAACTTTAAAAGCACAACTACAATGATGTGGGAAAATACCCGAACAAACCTGAATACCATACATGTAAGTACCCGCGAAAACTTAAGAAAACAAATACACACACACACACACACACACATTAAATAAAATTTTGAAATCATATATGTGTGATTTATGATCATATCCTATATTTTTGCTGAGGGGTGACCCCAAGCATGTGAGTCCAATATGACCAAACAAAACAAAAAGCATGTTTCCAAAACAAAGAAGCATCTAAGTCAGGGATGTCAAATTCCTGGCCTGCGGGTTGGATGCATCACGTGCTGGCCACACCCACACATTTTAGCAAAGGGGGAAAAGTCCCGATAAATCACGTGACACCAACGTGATGTGAGTCTGACACCCCTGATCTAAGTCAACATTCTTCAATCCCATTGTGTTTAATGATACCCCAAGCAACCAAATTAAAATTTAATTTTAATAGTTTAAAAAGTATGTCCTAGGTCTCCAACTCGGGCTGCCTACCAGGTGACAAGCTCAATGTCTTTAACTGCTGAGCCATTGCATCCTCATTTAACTTGTGTTAACAAATATGTTAAAGTGGGTGGCATAATACAATAGATACTGAGCATTTGAATTGTTGATAGGCCTTTGACAAAATATCACATCAACATAGCCAAAAGCACAATTGCTGCCATCGATTGACATTTATTAAGAAAAATTGGACTATGTTGGAAATTCTAACACTGCCGAGATGGGGGAGTTTTTTCCTATGCTTTGGGAGCATACTCTTTAACTTGCATGTAAATGACCTCAATTGAGGATTTAAAGTGAGGTAGCTATTATACATTTATACATATCCATCAAGCTACTCATTTTTTAATATACGTTTTATGCAAAAAGTACAAGTTAGAGAAATATAGTTGGATCTTAATTAGTATGATTAATGAATCTCACAAAATGGTTGCATTTCTCCAATTTGCATTATTCAGTGATATAACGATTAATTCTCAGTGAGGGAAATGGACAATAAAAACTTTTAAATATAACTTTTTGTATGTATATGGAATATTAAGTCAAGGATAATAAGAATATACTTTTAAATTTGTTAACAAAGTCACAAAGTAGTTATAAAGTAAAATCAAAACCAAAAAACTATACCACAGATCTTTAACATCTTTTGTTGTTTTTTAATGTAAAGAGCCTCTTTTTAAACTTTCTTCTGATGGAATCCTTTTCTATTTTGCATACAGAAAAATTAGCATGTAAAATCCCAATGACAACTTTACATATGCTAATCTTGGTTGCCAACCCGCTAGTCATATTGAACCTGAATTTTTGTTCACTTTGAATACAACCTGGTATCAATGAACAATTCATAGTAAATTGAACATTGCTTTATTTAAATTCACACTAATCATGACCTGCCTGTACTAAGGTGAAGAAATTATAAGCATGAGATAATACAATGTATTTCTCATCCTAAATTCCATACATCCATACTCTTTTCACATATTGCCTTTTGTGCCATTCCATTTTAAGTGAGTATACTGTACACCATGCATTAGCTTTAATAGCTGTCCAGGACCTGTTGTTCAATAGTGTTGCAGGAAGGGATATACAGAATCTCTTTAGAATGGTGTGTGTGTGTGTGTATACACATACATCATTTCAGAGAGATTTTATATACCTCTTCCTGTAACACCATTGAGCAATAGCATTGAGTAATGTATATGTGTGTGTGTGTGTGTCTCCCCCATGTTCCTCTTTTAAAGCTACCATAGAAAAACAGAATAAGAATTGATAGGGACCCTGGAGGTCTTCTACTTCAACTCACTACTCAAGCTGGAGATCCCATGCCATTTCAGACAAAAGTTGTCTAATCTCTTCCCAAAAATCTACCGTACACAACTTCTGAAATTCCACTAATTGTTCTAAATGTCAGGAATTTTTTTTTTCATATTTCTAAGTTGGATTTCTCCTTAATTAGTTTCCATTCTTTGCTTCTTGCCCTTCCTTCAGTTGCTTTGGAAAGTTGGTTGATCCTATTTTCTTTGTGGCAGCCCCTTAAATATTGGAAGATCAATTATGTTATTCCTAGTCCTTTTTTAAACTAGAGAAGCCCAATTCACATAACTGTCGATTTTAGGTTCCATTCCTAATTTGTTGCTATTTCTGTAGTCTTTTAATTTTTTTTTTTGTATCATGGCAACCGTATGCAATATTCCAACTGTGATCTTAGCAAGGCATTATAAAGCAGTATTTCATGATCTTGAGTCTATCCCTCTATTGATGCAGCCTAAGACTATTGGCTTTTTTGGTGGCTGCAGCGCACAGCTGGCTCATATTTAAGTGTTGCTCCACTTAGAGACAAAGATTCTAGATATCTCTGTTACTGCTCTTCAGTCAGCTACCACTTATTCTATACCTTTACTTTTTAAGTAAGTATAAAGCCTTACTTTTCTCACTATTGAATTTCATTTTTTGATACATCCCAGTGTTCAAGTCTATCAAGATCTTTTTCTATCTTGTAAAGTAATAGCTTTAAATTTCTTATAAAGTAGTAGCTATTCCTTTATCTTCTGGAGTGTTGGCTATTCTTACAAGTTGGGTGTCATCTGCAAATTTGTTTAATTCCCCTTCTAACCTATCTAAATAATCTATGAAGATGTTGAAGACTAAGAACCTTGAGATACCCCCCTTCCGTTCATGTAGATATAGTTTCATTAAGAACTACATATTGAGTGTGGTTGATCAGCCAGTATGAATCCATCTGTCGGTGATGCTGTTTAACCTACATTTTTCTATCTCACCAAGTAGTAGGTTGAGGTCTACTGTAACAAATGCCTTGCTAAAGTCCAAGTAAATTATGTCCACAACATTTTGCTAGTCCACTAATTTAGTCACTTTGTCAAAAACTGCAACAAGATTTGTCTGGCATGAACTGTTTTTGACAAACCCATGTTGGTTTCCGATTATAACTTTGCTTGCCTTTAGGTGTTCAGATTCATTGCTTATCTTTTCCAGGATCTTCCCAGGCATTGATGTCAGGCTGATTGGTCTATGGTTTCGGTCTTTTTCTCTTTTTTGAAGATGGAAACGATGTCAGCTCTTCTCTCTAGTCTTCTGGTATTTCTTGATGCTCCAGGATCTTTGAAAGATTGTGTTCAGTGGTTCTGAGATCACGTCTGCCAGCTCCTTCAAGAACCCTGGGATGTAATCCATCTAGACCTGTTGATTTTAATTCGTCCAGAGTGGATAAGTATTCTATTACTATTTTCTTGACTATTTTGACTTGTATTTTTAATGTCCTTTACAGTACTGTTTTGATAAATCGAATATGGATATAGAAGGGTTATGGAGGCTACTATATAAATAAAAATTTAATAATTTTTTGACAACAACATAAGCAGAAACACAAATACTGAACAAAATAGAAATCAGCAAAACACGAAAAAAATTGAAGGGAACCTCAACAGGTATCAGGAAATAGGTTTATTGAAAGGCAATCAACTGATTTCATGTTTAGAGCTCCCGTCTTTTTCAGTGTGGTATCATATTTTACAGTAATTCTCAGAAATGAGATGAATTGTAATTATTCCGTTGATTTTAAAACAAAACTTATTATGGTGAACTTCAATAATCCATTCTATTAATCCAGCATGTGCATGGAATCACTGAACTATATTAGAAACCAAATAATCTGACAATTACATCTTACATGACAAGATTCCTTACTGCTCACCCAAACAGAATATAATCAAATGAATGCTATTTACATGCAGTTGTATTTAAAAATACATAAATTTATCAGGCAATCAGTAATTTTATTTGGAATGTATATTGGGATTAGGGCTAATGGCTTCTAAAGAAGTCAAGATTAAGGTATCAATAAATTATTAACTTGTAAAGCAGGTGTCAAAACACGATGACACGTCATCACATGAAGTGGCAACTTCCCCCCTCCTTTGCTAAACCGGGGATTGGCATGACCACCGTGTGACGCATCCAGCCTGCAAGTTTTGACACCCCTGTTGTAAAGCATTTGATATACAGTTTAAGGGATTAAGATTTGATTACTCAACCACATATTCTGGTACTATAAATGTGATAACCAAGTCTGCATACTAGTCTTAAAAAAATTAATTAGTCAATGCACCACATAAGTTTTTTATGTTCATTTTATTATTTTGCTAATTCTGGTAAACAACTTATAAACATCTATGGGAGAAAACTATAAATTTCATGTTAACTGCCTATAAAAACAAGGTGTTTTTTTGTTTTGCAAAAAAGCAAAACTGTCTCTATCCTTTATTGGATATTTTCCAAACCAAAATGGCTTTCAAAACCTCTTAACTTCCTGTAGTTTGGTAAAGAAAGCACAAGAATATGAAACTATTTTATTGATAGCTGTTCAGCAGTATATACAATAAAATACAATATGCACTTTCAAACTAAAAACAAAATTTTCACTTGGTCCCCTTTGAACCAATTTGCCACAAATACTAAATAAAATGGTTTTACAGACTATATGACGGGAAAAATGCATGCACATTTTTTTGTATAGAGAGCTTACAAAACACTTGTAAATCTGAATAAGTTGCCATTAAGGATCACTATTAACTACCAAATTTTATAAAACATTTGATGTAATATGCAGAAGGCAGTATCAAATGTTTTCTTGTAATAGACAAAGTGAATAGCACTTTTGCTTTCTTCCTTATGCAAAACATATTAAAAGTAACCAAACTTATCTCAATAGGATTTAAGTTTTCCACATGTATTAAGTCAAATATCATACATATATTAAGAAAAAGGGGGAAGGAAAAAATAAAATCCAAACAATTATTGTGCTTCATCCTCTGGGCAAGAATGCCAAGTTAATCGTTCTTCATAAAAAGCAATTACAATCTGAGGACATTTCACATTAGCTTCCTTAGCTAATACCAGGTCAGCTTCATCTGAGTCTTTCCTGTTTTAAGAAAGAATGTCCAATTAATATATTTAAAACTATTTCTAATGTCCATTGAAGACACCCTTGACTCACATAGCCCTATTTCTGTCCTACTATTAGTCTTTACAATTTATTTAATAAATTTGTACAGCTGCCCATCTCACAAAAAATGATTAGGTGATATACAATAATCCTTCCCCTTTGGCCTTATCATTAGCAGCATTTATGACATTTATAATCCACTATTATCCCTAAGCTTTGGTGATCTTATTACTTTAACTAAGCATATGTATAAATTACATATAAATCATGTATTATAAGTCAGTGATACTATGTGGAACAGCTTTTCATTTCTTTAGTTAGAACTCCCTCTAATCATGGCTCAATTGCATGAAATTAAAAACTCCACTTGTTTCTCTGGAGTGCTAATCACAAGTACTAACATTTTGCGAATGCTGCATAGTTTAAATCTGTGCATTTCTACTTCAAATTTCAGGGAAGCAGATTTGAATGTATAAGAGATGCTTTGAAATGTACAACAGCTCCTATGAAATAAGTATTTAAATAATTAAAAACAGTCATGTCTTTTTACATCAATGCTATAGTCTAAAAAAGATGTTGCCTCAATGATTTCAATTTTTATATATTTCAAAGCGTCTGCTTTGATGGAATATCAGCTCTGATATTATTTATATAAATAAGAGAATTACAAAAGTTTTAAGAACTCCTACTCTAATCATTCAAAATCTGTTAGTCTGTGATGGCTGAAGTATGGCTGATAGCTAACTTTGACTAGATTCTAAATCAATAGGAGTAAAATGGTAATTTATGAGTGGTTACCAATTTTTAAAGATCTAATGAGAATTAATCACTACACAGGCATGTAATGTGCTCCCCCAAAGTAGAAAGAAATTAGGCTTTTGTTGTGTACACCCAGGTTCTTGTATGCCTTACATAAGAACAAAATAATTTTAATATCTATGGACATATATAGTAATATTACAAGTCAGATTGTTTACCTGTGATAAAGTTATAATACGTTTTCTGATTTCTTAAGTAGCATGGTGTAATTTACTAAACACTAAAAAAGAAAAACCAACCTAAAAGTATCCCTTAAATGTTTTATTGGCTAGTTTGTAGTAACAGAAAAAATAATATTTCTTAAGTTTAATCGAAGCCACATTGTAAACCAAACATTCTAGTCTACTGCTCACCATTTCATAAGGAACATAAGTTCTCCACTGCTATCTGTGGCTCCAATTATTCGCTCAGGATCAAGACCTCGTGCAAATCCCCTGGGTTTATCAACCTGTTGAAGTAAAGAGAGAATTGTAAATCCTTCCATTATTTTCTGATTTATGGGGGAAAAAATCAGCACATGACCTATCAATACATTCAGAACAGTATAAAATAGAGCTGGCCTATGGACCACATACATTTCTCAAAGATGACTTGCAATTTGCTGCAGATCCTGCCCCAAGTTTTAAGCATCCTGTTGACCAGCTTTTTATTATTTTCATCTTTTAGAGAAGTTCAATATTACCATTCCCCCTATCATTCTAGGACTGAGGTATCCTAGTTTCAAATCCTTTCCCAAGAAATTTCCCAGGAATGAAATGACAGTAAGTTAATGGTAATAAAGTATCTTCAGAGACAGGATTGCTGAAGAAAAAACTGGGAACACGGAGAGGGATCTGGCATATGTGTATGTAAAAGAGGATTAAATTTGTAAAGTAGAAGTGCATTATGCCTGTGACATATAACTGTTAAGAATGATCCATGAAAATTGAGCCTTTAACAAGGAGTTAAGATATAACTATTCCTGGTGTATATGGTCCTCCCTTGCCTTTTCTCTATTCAGATCTGAATGTCTGTTTAATGTTTTCATTAACTTACAGAATCCCTCTTTTTCTTTGATTTGCTGTCCTCAGATTCACTATCTGAAAGGGATTTCCTTTTGGTACCTTCTGTTTTTTCTTTACCAGCTTTCTGAGAATTCAGAAAAGCTTCTATTAACTCTGGACAATCCAAATTTTCTTCAGGCTCCCATGTGTTATCAGCACTAAAAAAACAATTTGGTAAGAATAAAAAGTAAAAATCTGAAGGTCTACAAGTCATAGTTACACATGAAATCCAGATTATCTGCTTAATTCCTAAAACAATTCAGTTCTCAAGACTCTGTTTTCAAAACCCATTTCTGTAGACTGGTTCCTATAATAGCTAAACCAAGTTGAAACTATACTGGATAATTATTTCAGTCAAAATGTATTAACTATGTTATAGAATGTCACATGCAGTTCCCAGCCAGTGATTTTGCAGTCAACTATTACTGCTAAAACTTGATAAAGGCAATCTTCCAGATTCTGACACACATATACCATTTTCTGGAAAAAAGTGAAAAACATCTTTTACCTAGAAATCCAGAAAAATAATAATATAGCTTTAACAATATTCCTTCAATTCATTCAAAAATATAAATTGAGGCCATCTGGTTACTAAAATGTTGCTCAACTCATCTACAATCTGAACAATGCAACGTCATATGACATGTGGCCTATAGAATACAATCAAAATAACAATCCAAGAGAATTTTTAAAAATTAGTAAGCAGGAAAATGAATTCTAGAGTATTTACCACTTGTTTTCTTTTCCTGAAATTGCTGCAGTATATTGTAACCCAATACTGTAAAGCATTTACAATCAACAGAAGGAAAAAATTAGTCAATTCTTACTATTAACTTTTAAACATTTTTCTGCTGATTTGAGTAATTTCATATGCCATAAATGAGCATTATATTTTGATAGCATGAAGTCATTTTTAAATTTCCAAAACAGAATGGGTCAATACTGATAGTCTGAATATTAACATGCCTAATACATTGTCTGCTTTCTTCCCTGCAGTTGAAGAGTATTACTGGAAGAAATATTAAAGCTTTAACAGTACACACTAGAGAATAAATCCTTTGAACAAAACGATGCTGATTTCTTAGCAAACATGTTTAGGATTGCATTGTACACTGAATACTTGCAGCAGACAGATTATTCATAGGCTATATAACCAAAGCACAATCTAGTGGAAAATGCAGCATTTACCACAACTCTACCAATATTAACCAGGGAAGCCAATTTTATATTAAAATATCCTGACTATTTTCCATACATCCAGACGTTCCGAGTACAGTATATGAACTTGACTTTTCTTGAAATTGGTGGTAGCAATTTTTTCATACCGTATCTTTGTAGAATTCTTCAATTTAACACTTATATTGAAAATATTTTAGAAAAAAAAATGTATGAAGTTCCTTACTCAGTAAATCCCTTCCATTTTAAGAAGTATTCCACTTTGCCGTTAACTACACGCCGGTCCAAGACTTTTTCCACAACAAATTCTTCAGGTTCTGCTTCTTCAACTTTTTTACCTTTGCCATTCTGTTTCTTTCCCATTTTATGCTATAAAACAAAATTATTTGCACACATATATTTAATACCCCTGCTGCACCTTTATCTCAACCAAGCAAAAACTTCCATACTCTTTTCAGTAAGACCTAGATTTATTTTAAACAAGAGCTTTTGAGGTCTGTACATTTCTTATCTATTTCTTATTCCAGCATCCTAAATATTTTATTCAGAATTGCTGTTAGCCATTCCATTTTTATGGATTGTTTAAAAAAAACTTGTTAAACAGAAGGCAAACCAAACAAATTTGGGGTAAATACTAGAAAGAGAAGTTCCTAGAGGTAGCATCCATAGATTGCAGTGCTAATAGCAATCATCAGCAGTTAAAAGTAATTTTGAAGCTTTCAACTGCTAGGTATGAAACATTTATCTTATAATTACATACATGCATCATTTTAACTTTCATTAGACATTGGATATATATTCAAGAGCAATTCTTCACAGAATTTGATTGAAACCTCTTGACTGACACAAACACCTTTTGTAAATTAAATTCCATAGAAAAGCTCTTAGCAGTCAATTATTATTAGATAGCAAATTATTACATCCACATCATCCTCAAACATTCCAACTTCAATAAACACAATTCAGCAAGATGTTATTGTCTGTAATTTGTCTAAAATCAGTTTATTATTGTAATGTTAGAAGTAGTTGAAGTTCTATTAGAAACAAATCAGAGCCTGGACACAACTTTGGATTCAAACCATAATGGATAGTTCAAAATAGATAATACAGTGACAGTAAAGGGACCATACTACACCTCACAAATATATGAGAAAAACCAGATTACGAGAAACAATGCAAAGGTCCCCCAATTTCAAGTTTCATTAATTTCAATATAGAGCCATAATCTTTTCTCTAGAGCTGTGTTCTTATGACATCTTTTGAAAATGAAGATTATCAAAATGTTTTGAAATCAATGATAGCTTCTTTAGATTCTGAGCAACGTTAATAAAGGCTAATATTAAATACTTCACTCACTAATACTAACAAAATATGTATGAGTGATCAACATTTCTAAATAAATATAAATGAAAAAAGGTGATTGTTGCTTTGATGGGATGGCATTACAATTTTGAGAAAATTGGAATATATTTTTTATCGAAGTTACTTAAAATCTTGGGTATACCGCAAAAAAATTCAAAAGTTAAAACATAACATACAAATGGCATTTTACTATATTTTCCCATTCCCCCTCTCTATATAGCAGGGGTCCTCAACCACCGGGCCGCGGACCGGTACCGGTCCGTGGAGCACTCTGTACCGGGCCGCAAAGAATTTTTTTTAAAAAAAATTGGCGGCTTTCTTCGCCTTCGGTGAATGCTGCTGGGATCGGGGATCAAGGACACAAATGAAAGAAGGGGAGGGAGGAAGCAACCGAAGCCTGTCCTGCTCTCTGGCTCAGCAGCTTCGGTTTCCTCCCGCCTCGTTCCTCTCTCAGTCGCTCTCTCGCTGCTCCACCAGCCCAGGAAGAAACTGCTTCAAAGAAGCCGGGGGGGGGGGGGGGTGGCTTTTCCTGTCGCCGCAGCTCCTCCGAAGCGCCCGGTCACCCCCACCCCGCCCGCACGCACGCGGTTCAGTTCAGTGCCCCGTTCTGCCTGACTGCCTGCCTTCGTTTCTGGTTGATTCGGAGCAGCTTCAGCTGAGAATAATAACTATTCGCCTCTTTTTATCAGCCGAAGCTGCTCCGAAACCAGAAACGCAGGCAGGCAGAACGGAGCACTGGATTGAACCCGCGTGCGTGGGCGGGGGTGAACGGGCGCTTCGGAGGAGGTGCGGCGACAGGAAAAGCCACCCCCCTGGCTTCTTTGAAGCAGTTTCTTCCTGGGCTGGTGGAGCAGTGAGAGAGCGACTGAGAGAGGAACGAGGCAGACACCTGAGGGAGGGAGGGAGACACCTGAGGGATGGGGCTGAGGGAGGCAGGGCGGAGGCGCTCCCTGAACTTGGTGGTTTGCTGGCAGACGTTTTATTACCCGACTAGGTAACAACATCAGATGTTACCTAGTCAGGTAATGAAACGTCTGCAAGCAAACCACCAAACTCGGATTCTTCTCCCCC